ATAGGGACGAAAAACTGGGAAAGTTCACGAGGATCGAAGATATCCTCAAAGATGTACGAAGAATTCGATGGAGATTCGGTATTCGTCGATCAACGAAATTCCCTCGGGTCTGTGATCGGAGTGGATTGGAGTCGCCTGGTCGCCGTGTCACTACACGTATGACGGCCACGTATAGGCCCCATGCGTGTTGATACGCAGATAGAAGACGAGGTGGACGTAGTAAGAGCTTTGCATGAATAATGTCCTCCGCGACGTGATCTGAACTTCTTGGAAGGGATGGACTCCGAACGCGGACGGTCTCGTACAGGAATCCTCTCTCTCTCCTCCGTCTGCCACCCCCTCGTCGACGGCCGACGAAGAAAACGACGAGGCGAGGAGCAGGCCGGAATAAAGGCAGATCGAAGATATCGGATCGATCGGGTAGATTTGCGTTTTAATGAGGTGTGCTTGCACCGATGCCCGCTGAATCTTGAAGAGCTAAGTGTAACGGGACGAATTGAATTGATCGATTGCATCGGCGTTTAATTGAATCGGAACATGGACAGTTTCGTTCTAGAGACGTCGTCCGGTAAATTGTGCATAATGTTGTACTACACGGGCCGCGATCCTTGTCCACTGGCCACGATGTCGGTGTACCATCCACCTGGAACCCTTCCAGCGACTTCCATTTCGCGCAGCCGAACCTTCGTCTCCCTACCTTCACCCTGAAGGGGATCAAGCTCTCTTCGTGCTTAATTTCTTCGTTGTAAATGGCAACGTCTGTGTTTCCTTCCATTACGATCGATTTAATTTTATAATTTTCCTTTGCTGCAAATTGTTACACCCGTCGCTGTAGAAAATTCCCAGTCGTTCATATGGGTCCCGAATACCCTGGCCCGAACTGGACGCTGAAATCGGTCAAGCAATTTCGACGATCCCGATCAAACTCCATCAGCGTCAAGCCTATCGGTCTTACACGGGGCCCAGGACTGTCCCCGCGTGGTCTGCCGGTAATGGTGAGCCAAGAAGCGTCGGCCGAAACAGGACGAGTGTCAACGTCGACGAGTTAGGCTGCCTAAGATGCAGCGACGGGAAGAGGAAGAGGAAGGAGCGAGGAGGAGAGCGAGATGGAGGAGCCACGAGGAAGAGGCTCGACGCGGCGTAGGAGCCGATGAGAAGGTTGCGACTTGAGCTCTCACTTAGCAGCCGCAGTGTCACGATCGGGACGGCTGCATTAGCATATCTCCACGATGCAGCGTGTAGAGTAGAGAGGAAAAGACGCCTGGTGGCTGGTGGAGAGAGAGAGAGAGAGGGAGAGAGAGGTTCGCAGGAGAGACCGAGGGGTGAGGCGGTGGGCGGGAGGGGGAGGTGGAAAGACAGAAAGAGAAAAGCAAAGTGTTCATGGATGCATCGGTACGAGTGGCATGCATCTCTGGCATGGGTCGTGGCCCCGTGAAAAGAGGGCGCACACTACCATAATACGACTGGAAAGAAGGAACAAGAAGAAGAAACAAGAAGAAGAAGAAGAAGAAGAAGAAGAAGCAGAAGCAGAGAGGACTCACTCAGGCCTCACCAGCCCTGCCTGTTACCTGTACGTCGCGTGTTTGCCTACCCGCGTCACGATCAGGATCCTATTTGCATAGCGCCGATGAAGCTGCTACCGTTGCGCTCGTTTTCCTGCCACCGGTGTACCATCGCATCCTCCTTCCTCCGAGCGCTAGCTACACGTCCAGCCAGCGGGAGATGACGACCTGGAAGGAAGCGGAGAGAACGTGTTTGCGGTTGGTACCTCGCGATGCTTCGCGATCAGGAAGCGGCCCAGGGCGATGAAAGCTCGCCGTGAACGTGTTCCCTGACGAAAGACGGACGGAAAGGTATCGTAGACCGTCTCGATGACGAGGAACAAAGGAATGTCTCGATTTCGAGAGACAATTGGGAAAAGCTGAGCACGAGCGTCGATACCGTTCCAGGTGCCGCTTCGAGGAGCGCGTGACGCGGTAGACCATAATGCGTTACGCGACCGAAAACGAGCCACGCGCCGCGACGTGTGAAACATTCGTGCCCCCGTGCAACGAGCAGGTGTCGAGTCTTTCGTTTTCGTGTTAACGACCGAGCGTGAACTTCTAAATCCTCGAGAACGATGAAACGGGGATTACTCGATGACAGAGGCAAAAGTTTGGAACCCTCATAGAGGTGGCTGAAAAGCTAGTCGAATTTTTAGAGGAAACGGTAGGTAGATGATAGAAAGGGGTCCAAAGCGAAAGAAGGAAGCAAAGCGTCGAGACCTAACGGTCAGACAGTAAGGAACAGTAGCGTGGTTGTTTCTAAATTCAATTAAAACCTCCGGACAAAGGGTAACAATGGCGTAAGTGGCAAAGAGCAGGAGAGCTTCCGAACTCCGTTTCTCACGCGGCGCTGTTCGTTTCTCGCATAAAGCGGGTACGAAGGTGTACACGGGCGCGGTATCGGTTCTGAGAATGGCTTATCAGACCGCGGATATGTTAATGGCGGCCGTGTTTGCCCCCCTGCCCCCATCTGCCCTCCGTCCGCCACCATTGCCACCACCGGCACCACCACCACCGTCTTCTTTTCGAGATATATTACACCCTCAGCGAAGCCAGAGGTGGTTGGTGGCGGTTGTAGTAGGTGGTTGTAGGCGAGCAAGGTGCAGCCCTCTCGATCGGCCGTTGAACGTTTGCATGCACGTGCAATTAAGAATGGTCGAAGCCCGGTAACGAGAATGAAAGGCAGATAGAGGCGACCGGACGAGCCTGCGGGTTTAATAGTTCACTTCGTGGGACACCGCTCGTGCTTGATAGAGTCGTTTCGCGAGCCAATGTCTTCGCGGAACATTGCATCCGAAGGGGTCGAATGCTCACTCCGTACAAAGAAACTTCGACGATCAACCCCCGTTGCGGCTGATTTGTCCCTCTGCAAGTTCGCGCGCAAGGAGCACGTGCTCTAGCTGTCATAGAAAAAAGGAGAAAAAGAAAATAAGAGTCCTTTACTAAACAATTGCACGGGATGATAGTCTAGACCGATTAAAAAATAGAATACTAATCGATTCTTGTCGAGATTTCGTGTTTCTAACGATAACGCTGTGTGACACGAGTATCGGTGTGCATTAGAGAAATAAAATTACCTAATATTCGCTTAATATCCGTTAAAATTCCCCCATCTCGATGAAAGCTCAGTTGGAATGATCTTTACCAGAAAAAGATCCTACGAGTGGAACTCTGAATTCGCAATTTCGATCAGTCTCGCCGCAAGGAAGCTCGCGCGTAAACGCGAGGCGAGCGTGTTCCGCGGTCCCAGGTAGCTTGTACGCGCGTGCAATTAAGAATGCTCTCTCCCTCTGGCCGCGGAGCGAGCAACGACGACAAGCTGGACTGGAAGAAATAGGGACTCGAAGGCAGATAGCATTAGGAAAACGGGCGAGGGAACGAGGTGGAAGAAGGACGGAAGAGGAACGCGGTGGTGCTGGCGAGCTGGTCCGATCCATCGATGACCGCTTATTTACAGAGAGGCAGAAGGAACACGACCGAGCTGTAGATGCGAGTCGAGGATAGGCTAGAAGTGCGCTGCAACCCTTTGCCCAATCTGCCTCGGCATCTCGCCTCCTCCTCCTCGTCTCCTCTCGTCTCCTCTCGTCTCCTTCCTCGCTCTCGTGCGCGCTCCGAGAGTCCCGACCAGCCTCGCCCAGCCAGGCAATTAAAGCATCCGGGTAATTCGACGGACGATACGCGTGTCCTCTCGATTTCGAGGACAACCCACCTGGACGGTGCACTCCGTTGTGTCCCGCCGCGGCGGATATCCGCGCGAGGATCGCCGGGAAAAAGAAACCGGAGAAGCAGAGATACCGTGATCCGCGAGGTGTCGATGGTGTGTCCACACTCGCTTCGCAGCCTGGCAACAGGATGTTTCCAAACTGCCGCGTTTGTTTTTGGAAGCTGCCAACGTCAGAGAAGCTGCTCGTAGTCTACCTCCTGTCAATTCTTCTCAATTGGAATAACGCGAAGATTTAAGAAAATCGGTGTATCGGTATGCTAGATATTCTATCGACGTATCTCTTAACCCGAATAGAGTCGATGCACTAGCTATATAAGCTTCCCGATCCTGTAAAGCTTAGAAAAATCCCTCAATCTTGGAAGTTAACCCGAATGTACCTTCTCACAGTGGAAGTTCCTCGATCGGAAAACTCGAGAGGTTTGATACGGATCGAAAAGGAAATTCCAACGTAACGTGGCTATAGTGGAACGAGGCCGAGGTAGCCTGGGATCGATCGTGAAAAATTCCAGGAAAGCGTGCATCGTTTCGCGGGATGCCAGCTCGATGGCCAATAAGCCGGGCAACCCCATGGTGTCGAGCTTATCCGAGATTTCGACGCGAGAGCAGCCCCTTTCGGCGTCGAAGCGGCTCGTCGAATGGTGGGGATCTCCAGAGGCGTGCGAAGGGTGCAACGAGTGGGGTGGTGGTGGCCCGGTAGAGGGATAGATAGATGAATAGAGAGAGAGATAGGCGAAAGGACAGGCAGGGGGAAGGGAACAGAGGGTACGCAAAGGCTGGCGTGGCGAACGACCATTAGGGAGCCGAACGGCCATAGAGACGCATCGTTTAACGTGCGTGCCGGGCTTCTTTTTTCTTCTCGCTTTCTTCCTATTACCGACCACTTCCGGCTACGCAGAGGTCGCCGTTTCTTCCACGTGCAACCGCTTCGTGGACCATGGTCGTTTCCGGCGCATTCGTGGATTACCATTGGGACAGCTCGAAGAAATGTAGGAACATAGTGTATCGGGAGTAGTCGAATTATCGGAGTTGCGAATTAACCGGGAGACACGTCTGTCGCTGATTTTGCCCTTTCGCCGAGATCCGCAGACACCTGTTGTAGGGTGGAGATTTAATAGAAACGAAAAATGATCGTTGGAGGTTAATTGCCTCATCTCGAATGATATGGAAGTTAAGATAACACTGGTGGAATAGAGAGGTGAAGGTAACGTTTCTCTGTTTTCTCGTGATTTCAGGGGAGGATGAGGAATGGAGCGACTCGGAGAAGACGCCTTCGGTGAGCAGCGGAGTGGAGGGCGGTGGATCGGCAGTTTCCAGCCCGATCGCGCCGGTCGTCGAGGAAGAATCGAGTTTGCCGCCACCGCCGAGACTGAATCCCCCTTCCTCGTCCGTTGCGATCGCGAATTCGACCGCTGAGGATATCAGATTGAGGCTCAGCGTGCTCTCCGAAGACGCTCGGAAACGACTGGCTAGTCTTACCGAAGATATCGAGGTAAAATTTAATTAGGACTCGACTCTACCGTTTAACGTTTAATCGGTCTCGTGTAGAGGTCAGCAAAAAGAATTTTGCGATCGACGTATGCGATACTAAAATTTGTAAAACCGTATTCCGGTGTAATTTTCATATGGAAAATCGTGGCAATTCGAGTCAAAGCGGCTAAGAGATTTCGAAATATTCGTACAGGTTGCGAGAAGCTTGAGAGACAGACATGTCAACCCGAGACCCAATCAGACGCGAGAATCGAGTCCGAAGGACACGGACGAGGAATCTGTCATGGCCGTGGTTAAGGAGGAAGACTGTCAGCCGAGGTCGTCGTCCTCTTCGTCATCCTCGACCAGAAGACGGGAATCCATGTGCAGGAGAGACTCGGAGGACTCCTCGAGGCGGTCGAACACGGACAATCCACCGTCCGAGAAGAAGCTGAAACTCGACGACGAAGCTGCACCAAGACTGAGACTCAATGCTAGTCTGGCGACGGATCCTGCACTCCGCCCCGCCGCCGTAGCCGCACTTACCGTCAAGCCGGAAAATACCTCGCCACCGAATCCTGTGCCACCTTTGCCGGCTGGACTTCAGAATGGTAATGTCGACTAGACGATACGACGATACCTGTGACATCGATATTCGTGACATTTTCAACATAAACGTTTTCTCGGTATCAGTACTATAAACAATCTTACCCGACTTGGACCTAGCTTCGCTTCCATAGGCAAAAGTACGTATCTCAATGGAGGAAACTAATATTTGCAGCGATCGCGTCAGGTAGGCTGTTCGTGCTGCCAACCGATGGCAAGGAGACCATCACCGTAGAGCCTGCCAGGCCGGCGCCACTGTTCTGCCCTCCGTGCGGCATCCGCTTCAGCTCAGCGAGCACACTCGAGGCCCATCGCACCTTCTACTGCGCCCATCGTCCCCGGCTGGAAGAGGACACCACCAACGAAGAGGACGAGGAGAAGACGAACAAGTTCGAGGTGAGGAAGGCCTACGCCTGTCCTCACTGCTCGTACAGTGCGGACAAGAAGGTGTCGTTGAACAGACACATGAGGATGCACGCCGCGTCCCCGGCACCACCCACGATACCAACCGCGCCAGCCATAGCTACCACCCCAGGCAGTGGCGCGGCTACAGCCTCGAATGGATCTCTGAACGAGGAGGCAGAGAGATACTGCAGAAACTGCGACATCCGATTCAGCTCTCTGAAGACGTATAGAGCGCACAAAACGCACTATTGCAGCACCAGGCACGTGGTGAAGGATACGCCACCGGCGGCTACCGTAGCCTCTTCGTCGGTGAAAGCTTCACCGCCGACGAGCGCGAGTCCTGGAGAGTCGCCACCTCCTCAGCCTTGCTTGGCGCTGCCCACCAACCCGATCTTGATCGTCCCGTACTCTTTGTTCCGCGGAGCCAGCGTCCTGGCGGCGCCGACTTTGCCTGCCCCTGACACTGCGTGCTTCCTACTACCGAATGGTACGTGTACTTCAGTCGCGGCTTCTTTAGACCTTTAAGGTTCTCTTTGTAAATCGAGCAGCGAGGAATCTATGAAAATGCCAATGCTGACGAGTTTTCTGTCCCCTCGTAGGTCATCTTCAACCGATGACGAGAGGTCTCACCACGACACCGCAGAATACCGTGGTCGAGCCTCCGCCGGTTCTTCGAGCAGCGAACAAACCAACGACGCCAGCGTCCATCGTGGCATCGTCCACGTCGCCATCTGGTTCAGCGCCGCTAGACTTGAGCATAAGAAAGTCACCAGCTCATCAGGACGAGAAAGAGAACAGGGTGTCGCCGGCTCCCTCTTCCCTACCTCCACCACCTGGTAGTCCGAGATCCAGAGGAAGCGGAAGTCCCAGGGCAAGGTCCATTGGCTCCGCTCCCACGGCAGCCGGAACCGTTGCACCTCCACCGCCGACGGAATTAGCTCTAAGACTGGCCGAACTTCCGCCACCGCCTGTTCCTGGCGTCCTCGTGAAGCAGGGTGTCTCGAGGTAAGGTACTCTGACGTTTTCATGACACTTTAAATATATAGAATCTTTTGTACGACAATTGTTTTTATGCAGCTGATAGAGATGCTAGAAAATGAAAATAATCATGATTGTCGAACCTTGTATCACGGTGATTAGTGGATTATCCTATAACTGGTCGTCTTTCAGATGCAAAGAATGCAACATCGTATTCTGCCGACACGAAAACTTCGTCGCACATAAGAAACATTATTGCCAAGCAAGAGAAACGACCGTCAGCAACAGTCCTCCGCCACCTGGTACACCCTCGCCTCCTCTGGTTCAGTTAATCTGCGCTGCGTGCGGTATCAAGTTCGCCTCCATGGATAATCTGGCAGCTCATCAAGCGTTTTACTGTCCCAAAAGGCCGGAACCTCAGGAACATCATTCGCGATGCTCGAAATGCAAAGTTAGTGCTAGTCTCCTTACTCTGGTCAAAACGTTCCGTGGATTCCTCCTCGCGCTAGGGAATAAACGACACGATTTTTATCGTATTCTTATTTGGTCAATGTATTGTTTGTTCAGACTATAATCGAACCTGGAGGCACACATACCTGTACCAGCGGGCCGACCGGGGGTTGGAGATGCCCTGTCTGCGGTGCAGTTAGTCCGACAGCTGGAGCAGCTCAACGTCACATGGATGCGCATCAGGGCGTCAAGGCTTTCCGGTGTACGATCTGTCGTTACAAAGGAAATACGTTGCGTGGCATGAGAACGCATATCAAAATGCATTTTGAGAAACGCGGGACCGATCTGCAGGTACGCAACGCTTCGTTACGCTGTCACGTTCGCTTTTGATAAATACCTTGACTACGTTGCTTAATCGGTTCTAGGAAGAAAATTACATAACGTGCGTACTTGATGACGAAACGGTTCTGCCTACCCCAGAACCTGCTCCAGCTACCACTCCCGAAGAAATCCCGGGTGAGGTGCAAGTAAACGGAAAGACCGAAGTTCGAAAAAGTCCGCAGCCACCGCCACCCCCGCCTCCGCCATCACCGACGGTGGCCAACAAGGTAAAGCAAGAACGCGAGGATACACCACCTCCCGAGGAAAGTTTGGATCCGAACAAGAGCGGTCCGCGTTACTGCAGGTCATGCGACATCAGCTTCAATTATTTGAGCACGTTCATAGCTCACAAGAAATTCTATTGTTCGAGTCATGCCGGCGAGGCAAGCAACAACAACAACAATAATAATAATAACAATTCGACAAGCCATGCGACAACGCCTCCAAGCAGCCGAACCGAGGCGTCGGTACTTTAAAAAGACTCTCAGAACAAGACAACTGATGGGACTGTTAATTGTTGCCAGTTTATATATAATATAATTGCCGACTATCCGATTTAGTTGACTACCGTTGTGTGATTTCTGTTGATCCAGGGAATTGTTTGTACTTATAAATTGAGTTATCCGACATGTACATACGCGATGCGTGAACGGACATAAAGGAGGAACTGCGTTAAACATAAAGAATGTTAGTAGCAGTAAGAGAAGGTTAGACGATCGTGACGACGTTTGATAGTTCGCTTTGGATCAATTGGACGGAAATAAAGATTGGGTATTAGAAGAGAAAGTCACGTGAAATATACCAAAGTGAAACTGTCAAATGGTAATATAGACCCATGTATGAAAGGGATCGTAGTTGCAGCTAAATTCATGGTGCAGCTGATCTCATGCGCCACGATCGACTGATACAAAAGGTGTGCAATCTCATGACTCTCCAATAATCTCGTAGTTGTAACTGATAATCGACACATACCTAAGGAATTACGGAAAAGTAATGATGAGTGTAAAATGTTGTACAGTAGCCGAGTAGAGTATTACGGTACGATATAGTAATAATCTTGAATGATACCAATTCCCAGCTTGTGAAAACGCTAAGTTGCAATATGACACTTAATATATTATATATAAATAAATATAGATATAAATAAATGATGTCATTGTCCATAAGTCGCGCTCATATTCTCGACGAGTAAGTACGTTGATAACTGTATCCAGACTGCCATAAGAAAGAAAGATCGGAGTCGTTTCCTATCGCTTTGCCAACAGTCTCGTGTGTATAATAGCGAGAAATTAAAAATAAATCAATGGCCCCTAGTATTTCTCTTCGAATTCCGGATACGGTGTAATTGGATCCTTACCAACGCATTTGCTTCGTTATATTGCAATCAAAAAAAAAAAAGCATCGCCTGTACTTGTATACAAGTAACGGAATCGTTGCGAGCGCGTAAATGTAAAAATTAGAATTAAGGCCAGTGTTACACGTATACGCAGCGTAATATTCATATCACATAACGAGTTCGTTAAAGGCATGGATTTCTTCGCGTGTGAACGTCCGACGATGAGAGAGAAAGAATGAGTGAGTAAATGATTGAGAAAGAGAGAGAGAGAGAGAGAGAGAGAGAGAGAGAGAGAGAGAGAGTGCGAGAAAGAAAGAAATACGCGAATGTTGTAATCCAAACGTTGTCCGATATGGAACGATACGACAACGTTTTCGAAAAATCACACTTATATAAAAATTGTTTTCGTATTTTGGCGAGTAGTATAGTCAGATAAAACGCGAATGTTCGCAGATACTTTTATAAAAGTAATTGTTATGTTATTTACAGGCCTCCTGCTAATTGCTGTCTAAAGGAAAGCAAGATTCACGATATTCCATTACAAAATAAATACGAAAGATTTGATAACACATCACGGAGAAGCTACTTTATTGCTGAACATTTGTAAATCTCTATCTGGTACTTCCAACAATTTGTTATGCCTAATAAAAACAATCTTCAAATGTCACTATCTTTTAAAATTTTTTCTGCGTCTGCTTTGTATTTTGCATATTTGTAACCATAAGCCTCTACATCTGCTTCATTAAGTGCTTCAACAAAATCATCTTCTTCGGATAAATCAGATTCTTCATTTAATGCCATGTTCCTAACAGCCTGCCTCATATCATCTTCGTCGATTGATCCCTCAGATTCATCAGAATCTGGGTAGTCGTTTCTCCAATTTGACTCTGAATTTGAATCCTCTGATTCACATTCAGCTTCGGGATAATCATTCTCTCTGTATGTATCATAAACTAACTCTTGTTCAAATGGATGTATAGATACCATATCATCTAGGTATATATCGTTCTCAGTTTGGACATAATACAAATCATATACATAATTATCATCCTGTAAAACATTCATATAATGTAAGTAATTATCAATTAAACTGACTGAAAAATATTTAAAACATATTGTTCACCTTTTTTTCAGAATCCTCTTTTGCTATGGATTTCGAATCCTCTACGTCTATTAATGTTATAATTTTGTCTTCAGAGTTTTCAGAGTCTTTAGAATCATCCAAAGATCGAAAATAACTAACTACTTTGTAACGATTTTCTACTGAAGTTTGTTTTATTATCTCTCTTACTTTCTTTGTAATATCTACAGGGTGGTGTTTGAAATTTGCTTGTAACTCGTCTTTTCTATAACTTTGAATTAAATGTTCCACAGTATCTTCCTACAAAAACAAAATAAATATTAACTTAGTCGAAGTATAATCTGTAGCTTGCTGAAAATATTTGTGCTTTTTTTCTATAAATACCTGTTTTGTAAAGGTTCCAGCAAATTTAGCAACAGTCGTTAAAGAATCTGATGCAGCTTCGGTTACTTCGTTTTCCGCAATTTTTTGTCGTTTACACGAAATTACCAAAGCATTTGATGGTTCATCGTCGTGTCTGCGTTTCACACGTAATATCGCTGCCATTTTTGTATGTTTTCTTACAAAATCTACTTTAAAAAAATATTTACGCGCGCACCGATATTTTATGTCGTTTACCCTAACCCGCTCTACTAATTTAACGTTTACACTACAATACCACTTGCACTGTAGCTTACAATCCTATTTTGAGGTTAGAATCGTTTTTAGTAGTCGACATATCGATTATCATTCGCTGGCCTGGTCAGCAACAACGCTGGCAGGGCGTAGAAATTCTCGGTATGTTTTCGACTTGGAATTTATTCATTTTCTTCATATTAAACGATTCATGAAAGTCTGATCGTTGATTTCGCTTAAAATGAAGCGTTAATATTATTGCAAAACATGGCGCAATCTATTTTCGACGCTTTAACAGGTAAAACTTTTCTATCCTAGAAATAGGTGGGGTTAACCAACAAGTATCTTATTTATCTTCCTCGCTAAAAGAAAATTTAGGTAGTATTTTGGAAATTTAGAGTCATTTTTTTCTACTTTGTAGGTGTATCACTAGACAGTCCTTCTGTGCAATCATTATTAGAGTCCCAGACTTTAATAACTGAAGTTGAACAGTCAGGTGAGTTTTTGATGAAGTATCACTGTTAACCTATTAATTGAAGATTCATCGTTGTAAAAATTTCTGTAAAGTAAATTTACAATAAACATCTACATGATTTGTATTTAGCAATTGATCAAGATGAGGAAGATATATTTCAGTGTGGAAAATGCAAAAGCCAATTTACATCATTGCACATGTTTGTGTTGCACAAAAGGACACACCAAAAGACACAAGAACAAACAGTAGATTTAAGTCAGTTTTTGGTGAATGATGAAACTCAGACTGTTCACACAGAAGACAATAGTCAAGATGTACCACAATATAATCCACAAGAAACATTTGTTCAAAATGATCAACTTAGTGAACCAATTATACTTGAAGAATCCGATATGCTATTTAGGTAAATAGATATTGTTAATTATTTAATGATATATACTAAAAAGTTCCTTCCTGGTAAATGATGTGTTATTTATTTGTTATAGCATGGATCAGGAGGGTGCTAATTACTTTACAACGGATTCCACATTTAGTGTTCCAATTATATTAAGTTCAGAAGGTTTGGATACTTTTGCAAACTCTACTATTCCAGGGGATGAGCCCATAAAAGATGATTCAAACGAAGTACCTCAAGTTCTCCAAAGTGATATTTCTCAAGAACAAAACATTAACAATAAAGTTGATGTACCAATGACTGAAAATTCAATAGAATCTGAAAATACTACTAATCAAACACAGAACTTAAAGGTATGAAGTTTAATAAGATGACAAATTTGTTTTAATGTTATTCTTTTAACTTACAATTGTGTATTTTTTAACTGATACTTTTTATTACAGTATAAGTGTGGTTATTGCAGCAAACAATTTTCAAAAAAATTTTATTGGCAACAACACGAACGTTCTCATACAGGGGAAAAACCATATCAATGTGTTGTATGCGGACGTGCATTCGCACAAAAATCAAACGTTAAAAAGCATATGTCATCACATAAAGTATGGCCAGGAACTGCTATACACTCTTTACCCCCAGAGGTATTTTAAACATTTTGGCACGGGCATACGATTTCCTTTCCTGTCTTCCTTTTTTAATACTTGATGACCGTTGTTAGGCACCACCAGATGGAAGTATAGATCGCACCTATCATTGTCAGTTTTGCAAAGAAATATTTGACTCGTACAAAGCTCTAAAGGGCCATCTTATAGTCTCTCACTTAGCACTGAAAGTGTACAAATGTGTGCAAAGTAGTTGTAGTATGATGTTCGCTGAACTTGAAGATTTCTTAGAGCATACACGCAGTCATAAGAGATCAGAATATCGTTGCCACGTGTGCGGTGAAGTGTTTAATACTCTGTCTGATCTTGGACTTCATCAATATGCTCACTCCGTCCAAAAACAAAAAACAACAGAGAAATATTACTGTTGTTCTGTTTGTAAATCCTCTTTCTCTAATTTGGAGGCTTTACAACACCATACAGAAACCACAACGCATGACTATGCTTGTTTACATTGTGGAAAGAGTTTCTTGATCGAACGATTTTTGCGGCGTCATTTAAAAACGCACGCCTCATCCGCACGATTTGCCTGCGAAGATTGCGGAAAGGCCTTTAAAACTGAGCAATACTTAGCCAATCATAAATTAATCCATAGCGAGGAAACACCGTTCCTATGTCCTGTGAGTGATTTTACGGTCAATTAAAATATTTTTAAATTGTTTTACACATTTTTTTAAATAAACAATTCATTGATTATAGCATTGTCCAGCTCGATTCAAGCGAAAAGATCGTTTAGGACGCCATATGTTGATTCACGATTTAACTAAGAGATTGAAGTGTCCCTTCAGAACATATTTAGGTTGTATGAGTGAATTTTCACGACCTGATAAATTAAAGCGTCACCTACTGACGCATAGCAATATCAAAAGATTTAGTTGTAGTCACTGTAATCGTAATTTTCATCGGGCACAAGCTCTTAAGCATCATGAAATGAATAAACATAGTTTAAAATGCGAAATTTGTTCACACGTAAGTTTTACATTCGATCGTACCTATCGGATATAATTTAAGTAGATAATTACATTTTAAAATTTGCATTATAGGCATTTAAAACTAAAGAACAATTGCTAACTCATAATTGCGATCAGTCGAGTGAGACTAAGAAGCATATGAGTTCACAGTTACCTAAGAAAGCTTCTGGATCATTTAAGCCAAGAAAACCTACTCCAAAGAGACAAACATCATCAAAGACTGCAATTGGGCTTGCTGATAAGGAAAAACTAGAGAAATTTAAGGCTGACGAAATACAAAGAAAAGTAATTACATAATTACATATAGTTTAATAAAACCAACATATACTATATAATAATTTATAATATATTCATATATATTTTAGATCACCTCTGAAATGTTAAAGTCTGAGGACTACAAAGATGAAACTTGTACCAAAAAAATAGAAAACATTTCTATATCAAAAGAGATCGAAGCTCTCATTAAATCTGAAGCAGCGGACAATGAAATCAAACGCAACACTGATACATATGCGGTACAACATACCGGCGAATAGAGTTTTTAAATATATATTTTTTAATTGTATTTAAATTATAATATAGTCTAGGCTGTAGATAAGTTGTCATACTACGTGCAATGGGATCATTGGCAAACTGCAAGTTGCATTTTATAATAGTAAATATAATATTTTGTAGTTTACATATCTGTGATAATTGTATTATAAAATATATTAATATAAATAACTTATATCTATCTATCTCAAATATTTTTAATGACGCCTTCCTTAGGCCGTTTGGAATTTATGGATGTATTAAAGAAACAGATGTTTGTGTCAATGTGTATATTTCTTTCTAATTAACTTTCCTTTAGCATAACCATGAAATTGCACTCTTTCTTACAAATTAGTAGAAGGATGTGATAATATCGTATCTTACGGATGTTACAGTGCATTTTTGAGATAATACTAAGAGGAAATGGTTAGTGGCTTAACTACCACTTCCTTTCTTCTGTTCACGTTTCGAATTTAATTTAGTAGAAAAAACTCAGTGCTCTTATACACTAGTCAAGGTAATACTATACCTGAAAATTAGTGCCTATATAAATAAGTGATTGAATACATTTCAAAGGATGCCTTCCCGAGGATCTTATCAAGTTGCTAACGTCCCGCAGGGGAAAGCAGCCCAACGGGATCAATCTTATAGAAGTTGCATTTCAATGCTATTAATATTCTGTTTTCTTTGTATTATCCTCATCCTTGTCGCTTTCCCATGGAAGATATATGATTCTGATCATTCTGAACAAGAAGATGAATACATGGGAATATTTCAGGTAAATTTATTTTTAAAAATTAAAAATTAATAAAAGGCATTTCGATAAAAATAATTATATCGGCGCAGCATCATCATCGTGACCACACAGAACAGCGAACTGAAGAAACAACTAGTACTACAAAATCAACTAAATATTATTTAACAACTACAACTTCTATCAATGAAAATAATTCAGAACAAGTAGAAGCAGTAACATCAAATTTTGAAGTAGGTACTGAAAACTCTAATGTAGTAAATACTACAAATTGGATCGTTAGTAATACATCCAACTTTAACGAATTTCTAAATATCGAAACTACTACGGAAATTCTATTACTAAATGATTCAGTAACCGATATCGAAACTATAACTTCAACGATTAACGCTGATTTTGCGGAAACTGAAACAGCAAGTTTGACTACAGAAAAATATCAAGAAAAAAGTACTACGAACAATTATATCACGGAAGCTTCTACTTCTATAGACACGGACTTCGTTAACGGAGAAACTTCTTTTGAGGAGAATGAAAGTACGATAAATGATGTTACCAAATATGAAACGAAACATGAAGAAACTACCACGATCAAATTTACCACTGAAAATTTGCCAAATATAGATAATCATTCTACAATATTAACTACAATAAAAGATGATAATACGATTAATACTATCACTACAACTTCTAGCTCACCGATTACTAAGAAAGTGTGTACTACAGGCAAATGCAAGAATTTGGCCAGTAAGATGTTATTTTATATGAATCACTCGGTCGAACCATGCGATGATTTTTATGAATACGCTTGCGGTGGTTTTGAGGCCAATCCGCAAACTATAGATCAGAATTTGGAAGACATTGCTTATAAACGAATTCTAAGTACGTATTATTCTATGCTTTTGTTTACTATACAAAAAAATATTTCACCCAAAAATCTTGAATAAACTTTCTTCTTTTTTTAACGTTATTTTTTTTCTCTGTATACATATATATATTTTTTTTTCGTTGTCATATATCAAAAATAATTTCGTATTAAATAAAATGCAGCATATTATTAGGAAAAGCGAATAAAATAAATATACAATAAACATTTGTAAAATTTCTCATAAGTTTCTCGTTACATGTTACACTTTAATTTGATTCAGGGCAAATGCAAAAAGAAAATCGGGAACATAGATCATCCCTTTTTACTGAATATTACAATAGCTGCGTACAATACGAAAACATCAATCAAACAAAAAGGATCGAGCTGGGTATGTGGAAATCAGACATTTACTTAGTTTCTAATGTCAAATACAAGTTTAATGTATAATAAATAAGTATAATATTCTCCTTAAAGCGAGAAAAGTGTTAAACGGGGTAGGAAAATTTTACACTACGATCGACTGGGATGAAAAACATACAAACTTCACCGAGCTACTCGGTAAACTATTATTACACAACAGGTAAAAGATTTAAGACAATGACCCGTACAAAAATATCGCGCATCGAGTTCACGTAATATATTTCCCGTTTGTTTTTTAATTTTCTAGCGCTTTGTTATTCGATATTTCTCCAGATCTTGACGAATATTCTCCGAAGCAATTAACCCTTAAAATAGGCCCGACGACGTATAAAAATCCTTTTGACGTCGATGAAACGAACAATCCCTGCTATGCGTCTCAATTCGAGAAAGAAAAAGAGACAGTAGATCTAGGGCAATTATACATGGAATATAAAGCGTGCAAGGTATGCGTGTACACGCGCGTGTGCGTAATACGCACAACGCAATAAAAAAAAAGAAAACATGCTCTATCGATGATAACATTACAAACGCGTTTGTCCTGTTTCATTTTGTTAGAAAAATCCAAGAAAGCTTATAGAGTCGATCTCGGAAGCCTGTACAGCACTCGGGGTATTCAGCGAATTGAACAATGCGTACAATACTTCTCAATACATACATTTTACACGTATCAAAATCGATTTGGAGATAGTGCAAAAATTTTTCGCGGTAAGTTTTGCCAGCTTTTTTTATGATTCGGTTGAATATATTTTCTTAATATGTTATTCTTCGTATTTCAGAATTTTCCATCCGAAGACAAGATTCGTGAAGCATATCTGATGAAAAATTACACTCTTATAACTATCAAGGAGTTGGAGGAAAAATTTAAAATTGTAAGAGATAAAAATTGATATTTGTCGTGTAAATTAAATTAATCTATTCTATAACGATCAAACCAATATGTTCTGTAATATGCTTAAAGGTAAATTGGACGCAAGTAGTTTACATGCTAACGAAAGAACTGGTTAAACCGGAAATAAAGGTGCAGGTTTACTTTTACGATGCTCTAGCTAAAGGATTGAAAAATCTGGAAGAATTTGGAAATAATGAACCGATGAATTTGCATAACGCATTATTAGGATTGTATGCACGCAATCTTTATCAGGACGTATGTTTATTTTCCTTGATTAATGTCCTGATCCTTCTTTTCTTTTTTATTATTATTTGCAATTTTTCATTTTTTTTTTCTTTCTAGTTAGTTTTATCAAAACATCTAGATGCTAAAAAAGACTGTCTTCGCACAGCTGCTAACGTTTTACTCCCGGAAGCTTCAAAATTGTATATGTCTTCATTTTCAGAAGATCAACTTACATATATGACTAAGACTGTAAGTTTTTATCTCATATATAATAGTAACGCAAACAAATTATTTACTTGATAATTAATCACCATCGTGTAACTTAATAGATATTTAGTTTGTTCGAGAAACATAAGGAGACTCTAAAATTAAAAATTGCGGAAATAAAATGGGCTACGCCAGAGGAACAAAACATGCTGATTGCGAAAATAGATGATCTCAAAGTTACTGTGCCTAATATTCGGTATTTTCCCGACAATAATACAATTTATAAAGTAAGTCAAGTAAATGAGGTATGAAAAATCATTATTGCTATGTGTGCGTAATTATTCGTATAGTACTTAAAAAGAATGCTAATATTATTAATTTGTAAAAGTTATTTATATTAGATGATATTTTAATGATAGTCTAATTTCAGATAAACTTGTCAAATAATTATCTCGAAAATTCAGTGATTTTAATGAAAAGGTATCGAAAATTAATATATGCAGAATTATTTACAAATCCAGGGTATCCTGAACAAATGTAAGCTTTTATAATTAAAACTACATATATGAAATGCCTTTCCATTATAAAACTATACTGATTAATATATAGATGGACGCATTATGCAACACCATATCAATCGAAAGGGCTTGCGATTTACGGATTAAATTTCGTTGTAATACCATTTGGTGTAATCGATTGGTCTACGAAATACAATGAACTTTCATTTGATTACATAAAACTAGCAACACTTGGTAACATAATAGCTTACCAAATTGCTCATCACTTCGACGCAAATGGTATATTAATAATATTTTGTAATATCATAGTGGTCAATGTTATAGATTTACAACATACTTTTAAGAAAATTTCGAAAAATCTTATGATTTAATTGTCCAATAATATACCTTTTTAATACACGTTATTAGGTATCTATTATTGGAATGGTACTCGAAATGCCAATAACAGTTTGTTAACTGATAACGATTCTATAAATACGAATTTCGAGAAATATATTGACAGTCAGCGAGAAATTCTTTATCAAAATCGTATGAGTATGTCATTATCGTCTACAGGACAGAACGTGTTTTACGAGGTGAATTCATATATGTCTTTTTTTATAAAGTCATTATGATGTAAAAATATTATTTTAAACTAAAACATTTAATTAAGTACGTTTTTAGAAACAATAATACTTTCTCTTTTTTTTTATCTAAACGTGTTTCAGATTTCGCAATTGTCATTAAATGAACGTCTGTCCGAGATAATGGGGCTCAGGTTAGCCTACGATACTTTGGCTCGATTGAGATCTAGTGAAGATCATCTCCCATGGCTTGAACTTGATGTCAATCAGTTATTCTATCTCGCCTATGCTCAGGTACTCTTGTCGCAGTAAAATTTATAGCATTGGCAAATTAAATATAATTACAATCATTGTAACAATTATTATAAGTAGAACTTTTCATCGTTCTTTTTTATAGATGCACTGTACGAAGTCACCACTTACGTCATCGTATATATCATTGTACGAGAGCGAGCAGTTACCAAGTCGGATTCTTATTTTTATTTCTGCATCTAACAACAGACTTCTTGGTGAAGCTTGGAATTGTCCAGAGGGTTCACAGATAATGCCAAGTTTTGTTTGCAATGCATTTCCGTATCTTCAATGTAACGATATAGAGACGTAATTAAGATACGTAAATGATACAGCAATTAATTTTTTTTTTTTATAAGGAAGCATAATTAAGTGGTAACGACGCTCCTCATTTATTTTCAGGAACATATTTTTCATAACATTTGCACGCACAAACGTATGCAAGAATCAGACGAATTCATGTATTCATCAACCTATTTCATCCAAGCACTCTTCTCCTTATGATGTTATAATATGACTAGAAAATTTAATAGTGTAAATAATTCATCCTACATTTATGCCAAATCTATCGTTTCTTGCTGTAGATTTGTTCATAATTGCTTCTTTTCCACAGATTTTGTAGAGTAAACCATGTCCCCTACAACACAGATCAATTGCTATAGTCATTAATCCAAAACTCAATCTACCAATGATGAACTGAGCTGTGACAAAATATGTATATTTGTATAATACATAAAAACATACATTCATTAAAAAATATTTTCATGCAATCATATTTATAATTACTCTAAAATTATTTTTACACTTACTATCATGTATATATTTATATATTTTGATATGACACTGTATAAATACATATAAAAATTCATATTTCTCAATTTCAAGGACAAGAAACAAAAGCATCCATGACATAATTTATTTAGTTTTGATATCATTCATGTCAGTTAGGTAACAAATTATAAATAGTTTATGTAGCACTCCTGCTTTGTATTTAGTAATCAGTTAATTATAAGTCAATAGCCCAGTACACATCGGCTTAAATATTATTTACACTTCAAAAGAATGTAGTAGACATCAACACATACCACTGCTAAGGGTTACATCCAGATGACTGTACTCTAGCTGAGTGATACATTGTTTTGAAGTAGTTTTCTTTTCTGTCTGAAAGATGAGAGCCATGCAAAAAATTTAATTTTAAAGCATATAAAACATACCTCAAAGTATCGATGCCATAGAACACAGCCATAGACGCAAAGAACTGAGACTAGAGACTGGCACAATAGCCACAAAAGGATATTTAATGCTTGTGTATGTTCAAATAACGCAGCACCATGTCTTATACATAACAATGCTTCTGTAACCATAATTGCACCATAGACCCAACACTGGGTCCCTACTCTACTACATGTTGGATCTGTTACATACATGTAGTATTGCCTAAAATTATATTCAAATATTATGCTTCTTTTGTAATAAATTATTGTAGTTGTAATAAAAGTTTACATACTTAAAACAGATATTGGTCATTTTATCATAACTTTTGCCTACCTAACTGAGGGTGCAACTATTACTCCAACTAATATTAATCTTGTTACAACAAATGGATGAGAGGGTGGAAATTCATATACATGTTTCAAGAAAAAAGTATTTAGCTCTGAAACCTGCCAGAATATGACCAATTGACACAGAGCAACAAATCTCATATATGTACAAGTTGGATCTAACCATCTAACAGCAGTCCAACTACCAGGAGTAAATTGCAGCATTGCTCTCTTCAATTTTCCAGTAGTGCTTTCAATGTCAAGGATGCTTACCCATTTGTATTCTCTCATCTCCAGGAGAGAACAAATTTTTAATCCAACCCAGATGCCTAAACCATTACATACAATAACATCAAGTATAAAAGCATCCCACCAACATTCCACAAAATTTGGTAATAAATGAGCAAATGCTATTTCTGTTACTTCCCACATAATACTAATGGCCCAAAGAATACCAAGATGGCGAATAAGAATTGCTTTAAAGGTCCATCCTAAGAAATGGGCTAATGCAAAAACATCTAAATGATTCCATATTTTTTCAAATGTAATTTCTGAACAATTAACACCATATTCTTTGTCCATGTCAATGTGAAATGATGCTAAACCAGGATCTATCCAAACAAATATCTTCCTAACTGTTTCATAATCTTGAAACAGCATAAACAATAGACCCATTAAATATAGTACACTACAGCCAAATACAAGTCTCCACACAACTGGATGCGGTCTTGTAAATGGTCCATTTGGAAATGTAAGTATTGATATTATTAGAAAAAAAAATATGATACAAAGTATTCCAGCCCAAATGTTATCCTCAACATTGGTAGTATTCCTGTGTTAAATTAATATTAATATTTAGGATTTGAAGTTCATATCATGCAAAAAATTCCAATATTTAATTACCTAGTGAATACGGAATATATTACAGCACCAATCGAAATGAGAAGCAGTGTAATGCTGTGCGGCTTATAAAAGAACTCGATCGAAATATCATCAACCGGTCTTTCATTAATATTTGGAAAACTATCTGTGCCATGTCGTAAATTGTACCCCTCGATGTTATCTGCGCTACTTCGACAATTCACAACTTTATTTTCATCATTTTTAACGAGTCTCTCTAAGAGACTGTCATCTACGGACTCCTCGTTAGTTGTCATTCTGATGAAATAATTATTCGTTTTAAACTCGTATCCTAATCATTTCACACGTTGTTTCACCACGTTTTCACCTTTCGTTTCTATGTACACTATCTCGTTATTGAGCACGCACGAAACAATGAATTAGATAAGAAAGTACTACAATAATTAGTTTTCGGTTACTTCCGGCTGCATGACTACGTTAAATAAAAAAGAATAGATTTAACCAATCATCTTGCTTGCGCGTCAGCTGATTGGAAACGAAAGTATTCCTTTGCAAACGAGCCTTTATATAGATATTACATCTGTACAGATGTCAGGACTTACTGTGAAGTAGGGTTGTTCTATCAGTTATTTCATTTTCTTATTAATATTTCTGTACATTTTTTTTTCGAAAAATTCTTATATTTCTAATAAAATATGGCAGATTATTTAGATGCTGAAGCTGAAGAAAGTGAGGTAGGTAATATAATGTAATATAATAAAGAAATTTGATTTCATATAACCTAAGGCTTTATGGTATAGGAGGAGGAAGAACTTGATATTAACGAAAGGAAAAAGCTTAAAAAATTAAAAGCTATGCATGACAGTGACGATGAAGATGATGAAGGTATGAAAAAATGATTAATACTACAAAGCAGTTTATTACTGTTTTTTTCTTGGTGTTTAATTTTAAAGTTATTTGAGAGTTCTAGAAAAAAAGTGTATTTCTTTAAACAATTACAGTGAAACATTGATATAATAATATGCAATATTAATAACAATAATATTAGTGTTCTTTAAAAAATTTTTTGTCTAAATATTACATATTCTTAATATTTAGAAGATGAAGGAGAAGTTCCAGGTCTTATTGATGATAATCCAATCGAAGATGACAATGATGGTGAAGATAGTGATGGATCTGATGATTCTAGAAAACGTAAAAAAAGTGATGATGAAGATTTTGATGATCGTTTAGAAGATGAAGATTATGACCTACTTGAAGAAAATTTAGGAGTTAAAGTTGAAAGGGTACATATACATATATATATCTAACATATGATACCTGTAATAAAAAATGACATGAATTCATATAAAAAAATTTTAATACAATTTTTTAATAACATTTAATTTTTCTAGAAACGTCGTTTTAAGCGTTTACGTAGAATACAAGATGAAGAATCAGAAGGAGAAGAAGAAAGAGAAGTAGATGATGAAAGAGATGCAATTGCTAATGAATTGTTTCAAGGGTCTGGAGAAGTAAGTTTTCAAATAAAATTTCTACTTAAATTGTTTAATAATTTATTAAATTAAAGATATTAATAAAATATTTATGTTTCTACATAGGAAGATGAAGAAAAAAGTGAAGTTAGCCATAGAGGTGAAATGGAAGGATTTGATGAGGATGAAAGTGAAGATGAAGATGATTTCATTGTGGATGGAGATGGAATACCTATAACTGAAAAAAGAAAAAAAAGAAAACCTATTTATTCAGATGCGTAAGGATTGTCTATGTTCTAAAAATCAAGTATCAAATTTTCATCCATACAATTAACTTAATTTTGTTATAGTGCTTTGCAAGAAGCTCAAGATATTTTTGGAATCGATTTTGATTATGACGAATTTGGAAAGTATGGCGAAGATGAATTTGAAGAGGAAGAAGAGGAAGAAGAGGATGAATACATTCATGACGAGATAGAAGACCGACCTAGACGATCAAAAAAACATTTTAAGAAAAAAGGCACGAGACAAAGTATTTTTGAAGTGTATGAACCTAGCGAACTTATACGCGGCCATTTTACTGACGTGGACAATGAGGTAATTATTAAAAATAATCTTAATTTATTATTAATGATTACGATTAATATTTGAGCTGTCGTAAATTGTATATTTCAGATTCGAACTACAGATGTTCCTGAGCGTATGCAGCTTCGTGCCTTTCCTATTACACCAACAGTAGAAGGTTCAGATGAATTAGATCTTGAGGCAGAATGGATATACAAACAAGCATTCTGTCAACCAACAATTTCAATACAAGATGCGAATCTAAATGAAGAAGCCAAAGAGAGAGCTAAAAAGGGTCCACAAACAGTCGGCAAAATTAAGAAAGCTTTAGATTTTATGCGGAACCAGAACTTCGAAGTTCCGTTTATTTCATTTTATAGAAAAGAATATGTTTCACCTGAGTTAAATATCAATGATTTATGGAAAATTTATAAATTCGATATAAAATGGTGTCAGCTCAAACAGAGAAAAGAAAACTTACTGAAATTATTTGAAAAAATGAGAAACTTTCAATTAGATAATATTATGAAGAATCCTGATGCTCCACTACCCGATAACGTACGACTTATTAAAGACGATGATATTGAACGACTTAAAAATGTTCAAACATTCGAAGAACTGAATGATATTTATCGACATTTCATGTTATATTATAATCAGGATGTATCAGCCATGCAAGAAGATGCACGCAAGAAAGAAAAAGAAGCAAGAAAGAAAGCTAATTTAGAGAAAAGAAAACAAAAAATTGCTGAAGCTGAAGAAAATGGGGAAAATCCTCCTGAAGAATCTGTCGATGTGGAGGAGGAAGAAGAAGTAGATGAATCATTAAAACAGCCAGTTAGGAAAGGTCCTTACTACATTTGTAGGAAAGCTGGTTTAGAAGGACTTGCTAAAAAATTTGGCCTTTCTCCTGAACATTTTGCTGAAAATCTTCGGGATAATTATCAACGTCACGAAGTAGATCAGGAACCAACAGAACCAACAGTAGTAGCAGGTGATTTTTGTTCAGCAATTTTTAAAACAAATGATGAGGTACTTAAAGCGGCACAATTAATGGTTGCAATTCAATTAGCGCATGAACCCCTAGTACGTAAATGTATTAGAGAAATGTATATGGAAAGAGCAAAACTATGTGTAAGACCAAATAAAAGAGGACTAAAGGAGATAGACGAAAGTCATGCCATTTATGGATTGAAATATCTTAAAGACAAGCCTGTACGAGATCTTGTTAGTGATCAATTTCTAAAATTAGTTATGGCAGAAGAAGATAAATTAGTTACACTTTCCTTCAGTGATATGATAGAAGGAAATACCAGCAATAATTATATCGATGAAATAAAGCAATTATATTACAGGGATGAATTTAGTAAAAGTGTACAAGATTGGAATACATTAAGAACTGGTAGTGTTGAAATAGCTTTGACTCGTATCATCATACCGCAATTAAAAAAGGAATTGCGATCTAATCTTTTATCGGAGGCAAAAGAATGTATCATGAAAGCTTGTTGCCGCAAAATGTATAATTGGATAAAGATTGCTCCATACACTTGCGAATTCCCTGAAGAAGATGATGAAGAATGGAATACTAGTAAAGGAATTCGCGTGATGGGTTTAGCTTATGTACCTGATCCATCTCAAGCTGCTTTTACTTGCATAGTTTCGCCAGATGGAGAATGTACCGATTACCTGAGATTACCGCATTTATTAAAGCGTAAAAATAGTTTTAGAGAAAATGAGAAAATGATGAAGGAGGCTGATTTACTAGCAATTAAAAATTTGATAGCCACTAAAAAGCCACATGTTGTGGTAGTAAGTGGCGAATCTAGAGAAGCATTAATGGTAGTATCTGATTTAAAAGAATGTATATCCAATCTTGTAGAAGAAGAACAATTTCCTACAATTCAAGTGGAAATATGTGATAATGAAGTTAATAAAGTTTATGCAAATAGTAATAGAGGTATAGCTGAATTTAGAGATTATCCAGAATTATTAAGACAAGCTATATCTTTAGCAAGAAGACTACAAGATCCTTTGCTAGAGTTTTCTCAATTATGTACTGTAGATGAAGAAATTTTGTGCCTTAAATATCATCCTTTGCAAGATCAACTTCCTAAAGATGATCTTATAGAAAATTTATATTTAGAATTTATAAATCGTATAAATGAAGTGGGAGTAGATTTAAACAGAGCAGTTCAACAGCCTTATACAGCAAATTTAGTACAATTTGTATGTGGCTTAGGTCCGCGGAAAGGACAAGCACTGATTAAAATTTTGAAGCAAACAAATCAGAGACTAGAAAATAGAACACAACTTATAACAGCATGTCATATGGGACCTAAAGTATTTGTTAACTGTGCTGGTTTTATTAAGATAGATACAAATAGTTTAGGGGACAGTACAGAGGCATATGTAGAAGTACTAGATGGTTCGCGTGTCCATCCAGAGACATATGAATGGGCTAGGAAAATGGCGGTAGATGCTTTAGAATATGACGATGAAGATGCAAATCCTGCTGGAGCTTTAGAAGAAATTCTTGAGTCACCAGAAAGATTAAAAGATTTAGATCTAGATGCATTTGCAGAGGAACTTGAAAGGCAGGGTTTTGGAAATAAGTGCATTACTCTTTACGATATAAGAGCCGAACTTAATTGTAGATACAAAGATCTTCGTATACCTTATCAGTCTTTAAATACAGAAAAAATATTTGATATTTTAAGTAAAGAAACCCCAGAAACTTTTTACGTCGGTAAATTAGTTCTAGCAACAGTTGTTGGTATAACTCGTAGAAAACCGCAAGGAGATCAATTAGATCAAGCAAACCCTGTTCGAAATGACGAAACTGGATTATGGCAATGTCCATTTTGTTTGAAAAATGATTTCCCAGAATTGTCTGAGGTATGGAACCATTTTGATGCTGGTGCATGTCCTGGAAAAGCAACTGGAATTCGTTTAAGATTGGATAATGGAATATCTGGCTATATTCATGTAAAAAATTTGTCGGATAAACACGTTGCTAACCCAGAAGAGAGAGTACGTGTCGGCCAAGTAATTCATTGTCGTATAACAAAGATCGAAGTAGAACGATTCAGTATTGAATGTACTAGTAAGACAAGCGATCTTAGTGATAAAAATCACGAATGGCGGTAATGTTTCAATAATCAATCGTACTTTACATTTATAATCATTTCTACAATTTTCTTAAATAATATTTTAAGTGTGTTATTTTTAGACCGCAACGGGATGTTTATTATGATACGGAGGCAGAAGAGAAAGATACAAAAACAGAAGAGGATGCTAAAAAAATACAGCAAAGACAAACTTATGTCAAACGTGTTATAATTCACCCCAGTTTCCATAATATAAGCTTTGCAGAAGTTGAAAAATTAATGCAAACTGTAAAACAAGGAGAAGCAGTAATACGACCTAGTAGTAAAGGAGCCGATCATTTAACTGTAACATGGAAAGTCACAGACAATATTTATCAACACATTGATGTAAGAGAGGAAGGCAAAGAAAATGCATTCTCTTTAGGTCGAAGCTTATGGATCGGCAACGAAGAATTCGAAGACTTAGATGAAATTATCGCAAGACATGTTAATCCGATGTCCGCATATGTTTTGGAACTTTTAGAGTTTAAATATTATAAACCAAATGTGGAAGGTATCAAAGATAAAGGAGAAGAAATTTTAAAAGAAGAGAAAAAACAAAATCCTGGTGGAATACCATATATTGTATCAGCAGCTAAAGTAACTACATTCAAAAACACCTAATATTTTCTAATGTTCCCAATTAAACTCACGTTTTCTTCTATGTTTCAGAACTACCCTGGAAAATTTTTACTCTCATATTTACCACGAACTCGTTGCCGTCATGAATATGTTACTGTAACACCTGATGGATTCCGATTCAGAGATCAAATGTTCAATAGAGTGAGCGATTTGTTTCGTTGGTTCAAGGAACATTTTAGAGATCCTATACCAGGTCAAAGTACACCTGGTACTCCGCATGGAGCTATGACTTCCAGAACACCATATAATGGTACACCAGGAGTAAATGGTAAGTTTTATATTATTAAAATATTGAAATACTATAATTTATTTCATTGTAATTACCTTTTTTTCTTTGATTTTCTAGAAGTAAATTCAGATACAATACAGAGAGTAGCACAGAATATGCCACATCATATGCTACATTCTCTCTCGAAAGTAGCAAATCAGACTCCACATCATTATCCACCATATACCCCAGGAGCTGCTAGTGTTAATAACTATGGAATGTATGGAAGTACACCATATACACCTTCTGGCCAAACACCATTTATGACCCCATATCATACACCACATCACACATCTCATCATACCCAAACACCGAATCACTCTCAAGGACCATTTTTACAACCAATTCCTCCTGCAATTAATTCAAATTCACATAGAACTGCAAGATCACATAGATCTGTCTCTAATGCTTCCAATGCAACAAATTGGACAAAAGCTGCAGAGGCATGGGCTCGATCAAAACAATCTACTTCAAAAGAATTGTATGTGTATCCATTTTTAATCATTGTTCAGTAATAGTTTAAACAATACAGTTTAAAAAATTACTTTTTTAATTTTAGTAATACTACACCAAGATATGATGAATCTAGAAAAACTCCACGGAATCAGGAAGTTCAAAATGAGAAAATAACTCCACGTAATAGAACTCCATCTGCTCGTACTCCATCTTACAAATCTCCTAGAGGAACTCCATTTACGAATTCTAGTCCCCGGAGTATGTCTCTAAGTGGAGATGGTACTCCTTTATATGATGAAAGTTGAGAAAATAATGTTTCACATGTAGCTAGGACACTTGGTCACCTGAAACTATTTTATTGAAACTACTTTATTGATAAATGAGAGTAAGTTGAAACATTGTGTATGATCTTTTTTGTTGCTAATTGGCATAAAACATTTTCTATGATATCAGGTATTTATTACAAGTACAAATTATACATCATTTCTAGAATTTTTCCTAGACTTTTGTTACGAATTTACGATAAACAGATAAAACAGAATATAACAGAATTGATTTAATGCTAATTTTATATATCAGTTTAGCAAAACGTTATACTTTATTGTAAAAATGTTCAGTTTCCTTTTTTTTACTTGTACGTAATATTTAAAATATTCTACCTCAGTGAAATTATATTTTCAAATAACCAATTACATACAACCTATATATGTTGCTCAATATAATATATTATTAACATTTAGTTCCACAAATCATGACATTCAAGTACACATACTGCCGTAATCAAGAGATATGCATAAGTTTTATTTGTATAACAATTGATTTGATATTAATGTATAATCTATACATATGCAATTTTGACATATATTTTACTAGAAAAAATTAGTAATATTAAACATTTACTAAGTAAAATGCCTTCTTTTTCAACCATTTATGAACTAATAATTTTATTTACAGATAGTATATCACTTAACTTTAATAATTTATTATAATTTTCCATTATATATGTCATAAAAATATATTTTCAACTTAATTAAACTTTGCAAAGCATGTTCAATACACATTAAAAAAAAAATAATAATATAAAAATATTTGTATTGAACATAAAAATAACTATGTACTTTTTTCTAAAAATTATGGTTATAGTTATGAAATAAAATATATGTAAAGTATATAGTCATATATTTTGCTGAATCATTTGTATAATCTGCATAATTCACTAGCCACTTTAAACAATTTAAATGAGTAACTAATTATTAAAAATTAATAAAACGAAATTTTGCGGGTTGGAGTAATAAGCGAAAGTAAAAGTAATAATGAATAGTTAAAATCTTAACGAATATATGAAGTCTTCTTGTAAAATCATCGAAACCAGTTATAACGACTCGACCATATTTGGAACAGATTTTTACGTTCTTATGGTCGCACAACGGTCACAACTTCCCACACATTGCTACGCACGTTGCTGGAGATGCAGACATATGATTCATCCAGAATGAATCTTTTTTGAACTGTGTGATCGTTTCTCAGTCGAAAATATAGACGCATGTATTTTTATAATGCTTCTACTACTACATATGAACCGCAGAAATATTTATGATATATTATATTTTAATTACAGAAATTGCACAAAATAAATTGCGATAATTACAAATATTTATATTTAGTTTAATAAAATATGTATCAAATTTTTTTGCTATATTATATATATAGTTAATAAATCCATACTTCGTAAATCCAATATTAAATATTATCGTATTACGTATTTAATAAATTATTTCTCGTAAACAAATGCTTTCTCACTGAGAGATACATACGTTAACAAAGTGTATAAGTTATGTAAAGACGTAATTTAATTGTAAATAAAACAAACACGGAAAAAAGCATTTACCTTCTTCAGATACGCTGTATTTACAATGATCATCTTCTAAACAATGAAAACGATGGTGTGAATACGTAGTAGAGGATTCGCGTGACACGTCCTGTTACAATTCAGCCAACGCTTCAAATTCAAACGAACCAATCTTGATGAACCGATCACTAAGCTTGACCAATGAGAACTCGCGAACATTCGAGCATTTTGACAAACTGTATGCATGTACCGTGCGTGTAGCCAAACGGTAACCAGTGTGAATCGTTGGAATATACAGGGATACTTGCATGTCGCAATAAAAGCAGCCAGCAAGTCCTGCGACCGTTCAGATCTCCTAGCATTATCGAGTGTGTGAGTGATAGTTTCTGTTGTAGGATCTACTTTTACTGTTTAATAGTTACTTTATTCTTCTGCTTAAAGGAAAACAGGTAAGTCAAATGTTTTTAATCTGTGATGAAGATTGCGTAGTGACAAAGGGACGCCACAATTACGAGCAAAGAGACGTCGCGTATTCGCGTTTATACTCGATCAGTGTTCAATACGAAACAAAGAGAATACCGTTGTTTTTGTACGGCAACCCTAATCGACATCTTCCGCATTCGATTTACAGCGTGACTGCAGTACGTTTTTCTGAACGCGATCATGCGTAGAAGTAATCGTAACTTCGACTTTCTGTGATTACATTTAAATAAATTTATTGCACTATTTATCTTAAAGTATAAAGAAAGATATTGAAAATTACTTTTCGTTAAGTCACTGACCATTAAGCTGAGGTAGATTTGACATATTTTCATGACACAGGTCACTGCATTATGCACAATTCTAAACAACTGCAAATACCGTTGAATTACTGCGTCTGTACACATAAATATAATAGATAAGTAAGATAAGATCTGACGTTTCTTTGAAAAGTTATTATATTTTTAAGTTATTAAAAAGAAAAAAATACCAGACTATTATAAAATACCATTTTTCAGTAATGAAAACTTTTCAATCCTTGACAACGTTAGTCGTAATGTATAAATAGCGTATAGTTTCCTTATATACCTTCTTTGTTTGAAATGAACTTCATATCGAGTTTTACAAAAACTGTGAAAATTGTGAAGCATCTATGATAATAAGTATATAGAAATAAGAGGAAAATATTTATTAAAAATTGTTCTTCCAATTTTTTATCAATTTTGTTTTTAAACTTGATTTGTAAACTTAAAGGTATTATTTTACAGTGACACAACTATACAACAATGGCTGCGGCTACCGAATCGCCTGTTAACGAATGTAAGTGATGAAATTTTAAGAAAAAATATTAACCAATTATTTTTTATAATAATTTTCACTATTAACAATACCGGCGTTCTGTATGATATTTAAATTTCAACAAAAATTTAATTACATATAACATATATATTATCTTTTTATATACAAAGTGACTTATCGTTTATTATTACTAATCCAGATCAATGATATAATTATTTTAAGGAAGTTTGTGATAAACGTGTTTTGTTAAATACATATTTCATATACGTATGATTATATAATTGTATCCAATCAGTTTATGCTAGTTAATGGTGTTACAATTACGATATTACGGTTCGGTACAGCTATATATTTATGAATATGACTTTCTTCGAATCATTGTTTCTGATGAACTTTCTGAATTGCAAGGAGTGAATGAACCGAAAATCTATATCGAATAAAGAAACTGTTTGCGGGTCACGCGTCAAGCGATTTTTGCATGTTTCAATAACAAAGTCAGCACGACAAAGGATCGTTAATTGGGAAGGCAATTTAGATGGCAGTAGGAACACACCCTAAGGCAGCGAAAAGTAGATAGTTGCCGAGAAGAGGTCAGAGCCCTCCATTGGCGTCCTCGGAGAAGTGCAGGCTGCACTTCGCCGTGGCAACTGCAGCTTGACTCAACTGCAGTGCTCGAACGCCTTTCAGTGGTTCTCAATCATTGGCAAATTTAATAAATTATGTTTCCTTCGATAAATATTATTACAAAATTTTTATATTTATAAATAGAATATTTATTTTATTTGTCACTGAGATATATCTTTTCTTATTTTTTTTTTTTTTTAATATGGTAACCTTTGAGACATCAGCCCAGGTGATAATTAAAAATTTTCTTGTAATTGTAGAGACGAAATTAATGAGCTTTTTGTAACCTTGTTCGGTCGGGGCCTGTGCACTTGAAGTACCTGATCTCTGACTCTAAAATCAATTTGGATTAAATGGAACATGAAAAGTAACGTGGAAGAATTGCATACCTCGTAAGATTATCTTTATATTTTGAAAATATTATTTACTTTCGACTTTAATCAAAATTAATGAACGTTTTGTATTTCTTGCAGAATGAAATATAATATAAGATATAATAAGGACATATCTATCTCATAGTTTGAGTACAGACTTTCTTGTCTAATCTATCTAATATATGTAATTCTTATTAGATTATTAGATTAGGTAGATATATCTATTATACATATCAAATAGACATGACAATGTTATGGCTATCGTCAGTTTCGCAATACGAATAATTATATGGAGAATGATTTTATTGATCTCTCATTACTAAGCTGTATTTAGTGTAACGGTGTCCATGTAAGTATTGTGTATCGATAAATAATGCCGTTTCACAATTGAACGCCGTCTCGACTACTAGCACACGACTTAAAACCTCGTCTCTCGCTCTTTTCACACCAACCTCTCTCGCCATGTCGAAGAATGAGATTCAAGTTCCTCTTGCACACGTGAAAGAGACCGGCTCGGTTAACTTTCGGCCGACTTTAAACAGCGTGCATACGGTGACATTGAAGTGCGTAGGTTAATCCGATTGTCTGGTGCAGCGTGCAAGATATATCGGATGAAATGTCCATAAGCATTTCCCCGCGGTGAAACTCGCTGAATTTCTTCCTACCTTAAAGGGCATGCAACGATAAACCATGTTTTAAAACGATGCACTTTTCTCGGCCGGACGATTCCCCCTACTACTTCTTTTTCTTTTCCTTTTTTTCGTTAACGCTTCTTTAGATCCAATTAAATGTAACGAGCGAGTGTAACTCATTAAATATCGTATGAGGTCAACATTCCACGGATTCTCGTTTTTTACTCGTCTGAATATTTTTTCTAACGTATTGCGATCCAATGGACATTATTTATTCGTCCAGCAATAGAGTACGTCTTTTTGGGCACGAAATTTCAAGACATACAGTAGTCTGTATAATCTGTTGTCAATTGTAGCGCATGACATTTAAATAGGGGGTACGAATATAAGAAAAAAGGTCTTCAGCAAATAGCAAGCATCGGTTTCGTGGTACTTCCATTAGAATACGTCACTCCGATTTCTGTGCAATTTACCACGGTTCGTGACCAGTGGAAAAAGGGGCGACTGCATTATTAACATCGCCTGTTCCCTCGTTCCAAGTTCTGAAAATATTCCACGATATCGATCCTCGTGTAGGAGATTCATTCACTTTACCGCGTATCCTTCGACTGTAATGCGTCACGGACATTGCAATTGTTCGATCGTTTTTGTCAAATGGAAAAGTTTATGGAACAACGATTGTCGTTTGTGTCCCACATTTCTGTCTTCGATTTCCTAGGGCATTGTTCTTCGCGTTTGCCAGCATGATTTTCTCAATTCGTGGCTCATGAAAGCGCCAACAACGATAATTAGAAAGGACTAAGAAAATGAATGCCATCCTCTGGTCGGTCGGATTTATCGATGAACAGGGGGTGTGTCCATAGAGAAAAAGGAGAAAGACAGTTTCGTAGAAAGGCAAGTAGAGCTACTGGGAAGAGCAAAAAATATTGATGGATCGTTCACTTAGAAATCAAGGAGGGACAATGGCTGAATTATTCCTAGCACGAAGCGAAGTCACGTTTCATGGATCGAAGAAGTATAACAATGATGTCGAAGTTGAAGTTTCTTTAGATGTCACGAAATTAAGAGGCTTTTGTATATTCCAAGGGTTCAAGTAAATTCGAGTACACGTGCTTAACACAGATACCGGAACAATCGAAACGAGGTTTCTCAGCACTCTCGAAGACCTCTTCGCGGTGCATACTGCAAAGTCGTCAGTTCGAAGATCGCATCCTCGGTGTCGCAACCAAGCAAGGGCAGGATCTAGCGGTAGGGCTTGATTTATAACGGACGTCGCGAAATAGGGCGTCTGTTATGTAAAATCTTAGTAACCTTCAGAATCGATAATCTGCGGAAAAACGGCCATCAACGCCAAGATATTTAGGTATTTTAAAACTAATTTTCATGCGATGTTACATTACTACTTAATTAAACGTTATTTTCTTTCATTCCCATTAGATGCAACTTTGAAAAGAAATGCATCGATTGAACTCTAAAACCGAGGCGAAGTATATAAGAAGCCATATCCACGATGGGGTAGACGTTTCAGCCACAATTAGATTGAATCATTCCAACATTCTAGATCACGATCTAATTCTAATTTGTAAATTCGCGAGAGTTAGAACGAACGATCGCGATTATACGTCTTGGTAAACTGCGGAATTTCGTAAAGATCGTGATAAGAAGATATCATCCATTGATCAGCGAGTTGCCGGTACGAGGTTGAGCCAAAGTATGCGGCTCGACGGTGGTTGGGGGTTGGACAGATGGTATTTTACGCCTCCACGTAGGCTTCCACACGTGCCTAGCGACCGGCAGCCGGGTCCACGATATAGGCATGTTAAGGCTGCTCGAGGTGGAGGTTGGAGGTTGGAGGTTAGTTGAGGTGGAAGGGTGGCTTGTCGTCGGGTAGGCTGCTCACTGTAGCGGGGGGGTGGTCTGCCGCGACTAGGGGCGCAAGAGGCGCCAGTGGATGGATATTGAGCGACGCCCGGGCGTCGTGGCGCACTGTGCGGTTCAGTCGCCCTCCAGCCACCGCCCCAGATACGAGTTCATCCGCTTCCGGCCACTTCTGCACTCCCTTCTTTCATTCTCGTAGTCGTTTGCTAAGCTTTTTAATTTCGCTAACTACGGAGTGCGGTTCGCAGATAACAGCGGGTAACCAAACGCTAGAAATATGCTGATCGGTCTTGTGCGCGACTCAGTGCGACAGTGCTTCTGTCACAGCTGCAAAGCACCCTTGGGCATCGTAGGTGAGTCTCTTATTCGACATTTTTTCATCTTACTGGGAAAAAAGATGCAACCGTTTTTCGTATTTTCTTTTTTCCCTTTTTTCCCCTGTGTTTCTGTGGTAGCTCGTGTGCGAGCTATGCGGATAATTAGGAGGCAAGGAGTCGATACCGCGGTGAATGACTCCTATGATCGAGGTGATCCGCTAAACTCGTGATCAAAGATTTCTTTTAATCTGATTTTATATGGTATCGTTGCGGTGTGGAATTTTCTCACCTTTCCTCGTGTTCCTATGTATCATTTTTAACGTAACAGAATTTACCTTTTTGTTAATTTTATGTACGTGTAAAATCTTTTCTTTCGTTCGTCCTATCAGTTGCACTCTTTCTCCTCAAGTTATTAACTGGTAAATTATCGAAACTTTTCTTCACCTTTTTTTTTCTTTTTCTTTTTAACAAAAATCGAACGTGTTATGTTCAAATAACTCCGACGAGTAGAGAAGAGAGTACATAAATCTCCTTAAATGTTGGTCTTTTAAAAACGCAGTTTTTGAACTTGATGTTCTACGTATTTTTACCGCAGTCAGCGGTGGTCGATATCACGTTGGTTTCGTATTATCCCAGGTACCTGCAGTTCGATCAATTTCTCTACCCTCTACCAATCGGTACTCATGGTGCACTCGTATATCACCGGTCCTGCTATCTACAACAAAATTTATTACGCCGGTATCCTCGCACTTCTGCATTTATTTCTTACGTAACTCGATTTCCCATGTGAAAATGGTTTATCAATCTTGGTTTATTATTCTTCCAAATTAAGCGTATATTTAAACCTATAACGAGGTTGGTAATTCGATCCAGTCGATATTTCCTGTTTTAACGCGTAAGTCGCGGTGATTTTCCGCAAGTACATAGAAAGATTACAGAAATAGTCGATACGCACGTGCTCCATGGGAAAGCCTGCACAAAACGATCGGGGTGCGGCCCAAGATGGCCACCCTTGGTAGTTGGCCGATAGTGAGGAGACGGTTGCATCGATTTTTCGATAATTAAAGCACGATCCATGTTTCCCTGGTCCCTACGGTAATACGGCACTCATTGATTCTCAATTTTCGAAGCGGGAGATAGAAGGGGCAATGCACCCTTCAAGAAGCCTAGCGGCAAAGGAAAGCCGCGGACCAAACAGCCGAAGAAAGTAAAGTTTATCAGTGAGTATACGCTGCTTTTTAACTAACGAGTCCTATCGCTGAGCCATTGACTTTCACGTTTCACCGGCATCTTGGTATTCGATCGTTTGGTCGCGTTCCATTTAATTGCATCGTTTGACTTTTACACGGGAACCGTTTGAAGTCGATGATGTGGAAGGAAAAGAGTCAGAGATCATGGTAAAATATCCTCGTTATCTCGAATTATTTCATTGGTCGTTGGATAGTATTTTACCGGTTAAAAATTGGACAAGCTTCCCGATCGATTATTAGTAAATTGTACCCGCTACAAGGTGCGTTGAACTCGACACGGACGGTCGCCAATATGTCGCCGGTGAATTATAAATCGAAGGCGGCGAATGTCGAAGAACGCTCCGGCGTATGGTGTACATAGGGTGGCCGCTGAAAGGTGCGTGTGCCGACGCTAGACGTCGCGGCGCCTAGAGACAATCGTCCCGTGGGCTGATCGATCTTTCCTTCTCGCGTCTCTGAGTCATACTTCCGTAACTGCTTCGTGTACTTCGAAGCTAAGCCGAGATGGATGGATCGAGAAATCTTCCGCTAAAGTGGATTGTGTCTCGCCGGCCTGGCAGACTGGATGTTTTTAATTGCACCTTGCTCGTGATGGGGGACGCGTAAAATAATGAATGAATCATGAGGGTTTACTATGGACGTTACGCGTATGCAGATTTCGGTTACATCACGAATGGTGATAATTAATTTGTTAATTAATTATCGTGCAATTAATTGATCCGATGGACATTAATTGTTCAGTTTCTTCTGTATTTGTTAAACGACAAGTTTTGTTTTTAATAAATAAGAACAAATATTAACGGTAATTGCTACAACGGTAACTGTTGTTTCTCCTGGTGTTAATATATGCATTAATTCACTGCACTGTTACATTTTTTTTTTTTTTTTTTTTTTTTTTTTAATTACATCACGCGTAATGAACGTAATTAATATTCAATTACATGTAATTAACGCGTTGGAATTATTAATATTTTTACCGTTTTGTTTATTAATGCATCCGTAGCAACTGAGATTCGATGCCAGGAGAAATCCAAGGGTGGTTTGTGCTATGAGGTAATTTTGGCAGAGCCAACAGTACCGAAGAGAGCACCGTCACCCCCACAGACAAGTCCGACTCAACAAATCGCTATCGAAGACAAGCTTCGAGCAGCCGAGAAGAGAAGACTTTCTTTAGAAGCTCAGAAGCTTGCAGTTCTTGCCGCTGAACTTAGCAAAATTGAAGAGGCATCTCGCAAAAAGGATGAACTTAGTGCCGCTTTCATCGCCGCGACCCGCGAATCTTTAGACGCTAAGATGAATAATACAGAGGAGAAGAGAGAAGCTCATATTGCAGAATTAAGGAACAAGCTGAAAGAGCACGTTAGTTCAACTCTTTCTTTACATATATATTTTTGTTACACCAACGTTATTATTTTTGTTTTATATTTTGTATTGTAGTTTGAAAGTGTGGAGAAAACGCGCTTGAGTCTTGAACAACAGACTCGAGAAGTTCGTTGTGCCGTTGAAGAGAAACTGAAATCTGCTGCTGCTCAACGCGATGAGAATATTAAGAGGATGCTGATTCGCCTTAAAGAACATGTCAGTGATTAGGATTATTGATAAAAGGACTTTAAATCCATTCAAGGTCTTTTAATCGTATCTTTTTATTTTCAGGAAGAACAAGTAGCCCGTGTGCGTCAAGGAATGACCGAGCGCGTGCAGCAACTTGAATCCCAGATTCAAGGCAAATTGGTTCAAGCTCACGAACGTCGTCAGAATATCGAGCGTGAACAGAAAGAAAAGCTACGCAATCATGTAAGTTAGATGCGTTACTCGTTATTTCGTTCTTGGTATTAGTTTTATGGGTTTCTTGTTTGATTATTTTGGCCACTATTAGGAAGGATTTCTCGCTTCTGTAGAAGTAACATCTGGTTTGGTTCAGTTTTGAAAACGACGATTATGCAGGAGTCTAGTTTTCTGAACTTGGTCTTTTTATTAGTGGAAATCCTTTCTTACACATTGTCAACAATGTTACCCAATAAGGGAATTTGCAATGGTCGTTTAGAACACTGTGAAGATAGCAAAAGTGCGTCAGATGGCGGATGAGTGCGCCACAAGAGAACTTCTGGTGAAAAAGTTCGAAATTCACAAGAGGGTTTCTACTGCGGAGCAGAACCGACAGCGAGAGATTCAACGTCGTGTGCAGGCTATTCGCCAGCATGTAATTTGGGCCTGTTTTCTGTTGATTCGATATTTTTATTGTTTCTCAACCCCTTATCAACATCTTGATATTGGCTTCTTTATCCGTTTCGCTGATTGAGTTCCGGTATTATGCGGAGCTGACAAATAGACGAGTGAGGCTGTTTCACTCCCAACGCGTATCTTCACTTTGTCTTATGCCGTAGCACGCTATTCTCATATTCTAGTAAGATTAGTAACAAGATTTTATTATTAAAGAAATGATGAAACAAGAACCGATAAATTCCAATGGCCAATACCAAATATTCGTATGAAAAGAGATGGGAATACGCCATTCTAGTTCTAGCTATTAACTAGGATCGTCAATTTGTCAGCTCCGCATTGTAAGAATTCTGTGACTTCAGTAGGATGCGGTTATTCTTAGAACTTTTTATAAATTTTAATCGTGCTTCGCTATATTATGTTGCAGAAAATCTTCCTTATAGGGATTCAGTTAAATTATGTATAATTATATGTCTAATTTTGTTATCATTTCCTTTTCAGCATGATCCTGCATTTATGAGTTACACCTCATAGATGTTAGCTTAATATCAAGTTTAGCATGATACATTTCAACATTTTATTTTAGTATAGTTAAATTATATAAATTTGCAGTTTAAAATATCATGTCTTTCTTCTTGTTCTAAAGGGAAGGCGTGGGGAAATGGTAAGACAGAATAAAGCAGCTTTGTGTGAGCAATCTATCCTGCCGACTGAAGAAGAAACTGCCAGCTCTGGGTAAACATAACATCATTCTCGATTGCGATCCTCGTTAAAATACCTTTTCATCGTTACAAAATCGAGGAAAGAGAAGAGCGGGACTTGACTACAGGCTTGCAGAGTCATTCGCTGAATAGATCATCGGAGTTACGTGTTTAAACTTTGAAATAAACTAAGGGGTCGCTCACGCTGTGCTTTACAGGACTCCATTACGCTTTGTGCCATTTTCGTTCGCTGGAAGAAAATTAAGGAACTTATGCAAGCGATTTAATAGTAACTGGAGAGATTTGCAATTTTAACGATTTTATTTTATTACAGAGGATGGGGGATTAGATATCCAGTTAGATAAAGTATTCCAAATAATTCAAAGAATCGTTTATATTATGAAAAATTAACCGATTTTTTCATCTCACTTTCTACTTCTGCAAAAAATACCACTCCATTTGTCTAATTACATACACTTTTTTTTATTTTAAGTGTACACGAATACACGTATTAACCTCGGTTGAAAAATATGGCGTGTAAAATATTTTCAGTTATGATGTGCCTACCACTTATACAATTGTGGATCTTCTAAAAGGTGGCATTAAAAATATCTTATATGTTTGTGGTTGATTGTGTATGTCGGAATAACTAATATTTTATCATTTTTATAATGCTTGTCTCAGTATATTTTCTTCTTTTAATGGCTATGGTGTTGTTTACTTAATTACCCTGTTAGGAAACTGCTTTGTTCAAATTTGAAATCAAAAAACATAACGATTAAGGTATTCAAATGATTAAAATTTTTTATTTCTGTTAAGTATTTTTTTACCTTTCATTTTTTTTTCTTACATAGCTTTTGGTGTTCTGTTCATTAAAGGTTTGCTTTTACTCATAGAATAATGATAGAATACTATCGCTACAATTAAATTTTAAGTGGTAATTGCGACCATATGTGTGTACGCATACCATATATAATAATTATATGTGTATGGTATGTGCCGACATGTAAGCACACTTATAATATATATAATAGTGCTTTATACTAGGCTTGGAAACTTTAAAACCATTTAGTACTCGATCATTGTAATATTACTGCGCTAACTCAATAAGAACATTCACAAAATATGTAGTCTAATTGAATATGATAATATGATGCTTCTGTGATGACTTAATTATTTGTCAAAATGTGTAGTGTTTAAGTGAGAGTGTGAGAGAGAGAAAGGAGAGAGAGACATTTGATTCCTCTACGCCCGTATGGATACCGTGGCTGGGGGCCTTAATTTTGTTCGTATTATATATCATCGCTGGAAGTATTTATAGGTGTAACAAATACCATACCGGGGCAAAGTTTTCACAAAAACTTTCCTTCTCGTAATAAAATAAGCAGCTAATGGTTCCTCGGCCTTCTTAGATATTCGTACATATATATATATGTGTGTGTGTGTATATATATGTATATATATATATATACACATAAAGAGAGAGAGAGATACCATAAACGGGAGGAAACTTTTAGCTTTGGTCACGGTATCGTTACAAAATAAAAGGGTAAAATAAAAATATGTCGCAGTGATACTGCATCCGACACCCTACAATTTTAGATATTGAAACTACGCAGAAAATTTTTACAAGCGGCTACTGCAAAAGTGCTAATGCCAGAAAAAGTAAATTAATTAAAAAAGAGATTGAAAGGTAAAAAGACAACAGAACTTTTACGTCGATGAATATGCAACTGAAACCTATATTGCCAAGTGTTGTGGTTAATTCGTCAAGTGTAGTAATATCAAGAAAAGAGACAAATGATTTCTTTTTTCTTGCGATTATGACAAGTGGCGAATAACGTCTATTTTTGCATAATTGTTGTAATCTTTTGCAAAATTATTATAAATGTATTTCGTAAAATTATTACATAGATGCCCCACGTATGTACTATGCGGTGTTGATAAGTTGGCGAGTCTAATAGATTGGCTAGAATAGAGTATCCCCACCTTCTTCACATGCTGTTTGGTATTGGTCGATTTCGTCACTAATACAGTAGAATTAGATAATGGAGAAGGGGTAGACACGTTGCGAGATCGTATGAAAAGCATCATCGGCGTATTTGTTTCAGAATTTATCGTTTTTTGTTCCATAATTTCTTCAATAATAATATGCCACTGCCAATTATACTACAATGTCAATGTGTGCTACTGTGTGAGAAGTGAGGATAGGCGGAGTAAGTGAAATATCGAGGTGGGAATTACTCGAAAAAGCAAGCAAGTTCGAATAATCGAACAAATCCGAGTACTCGAAAAAAGCAAATAGCTCGAAAATTCGAGTAGTTCGCATTGATTCGAGTTGTTCAAATTGTTTTGACTGACTTGAATTCTCGATTTTTCGAACTACTCGATTTTTTCGCTCGATTTTTGCGTGTACTCGATTCAGATCGGAAGGTGAATTTCGGTTCAAATATTCAACTACTCGAATATTTGAGTATCCTCGCATTGTTCAACAACGTTCTTACAATAATACCGCCTTATTCACCAACTTAACAGTTTCGCGTAGTATGTTATGATTGTCCTCGATTTGCGTTATGATATATAAGATATATATATATTTTTACGCGATGGTATATATGTATATTATATATATATATATATTTATATATAATATATATAATATGGTTACTACAATGTACGTATGGTTTCTTGTGAGCTTTGGTAATTGTCTTATAGTGGAGTTACAGAAGCAAATCAATTCTTGCAAAACCATTATTGCAAAATAAATTTCTATTGGAACAAAAATTTTTTAGGTCTTTTAATGTATAATTTTATTTTAGAAAACTTTGTAGTTTTATAGATGCGTTTTAATTAAAATATTTAACTTTTTGAAACATGCTGATTTGGCGCCTTAATTTTATTGCTCGTGATTCAAAACTTACCGATTGTCGGTAAAGCAGATCATCTCGAAATCGTGTCAGTGCTATTCAATTTGTTATAGATCAAAGGGCCCTGTTCATTGTCAAAAAATATATGACATTTTTATACTGCTAATTTTGCTTTTTATATTGATATTAAATATTAAAAAGCATAGTGCAAGATATTATGTGAAGATAGTTTTCTTTATAATCTTCTTATAGCCTTCTAATTTTAGAGTTAAATAATCCAAGTGTAAGGAAAACATAGATACGTCACCAAGATCCACGTGACGTCACAGGTTGTCGAATGGCCGAAAGCCAAAGGCTAAACGAAACGACGAGGCAGGCTTTATAGTCGAGTAGGTAGAGGGCAAATGGCTGCCGTGCGGGTGAATAATAATGCGTAGCCAGTGTAAGTCAAGTGATAAAAATCGTGATAAAGTGCGTGTACGATGTTACTGAAGGGCCGATTATCGGAGAAGAAGAACCGGAGGCATCATGGGAAAAACACCAAAGCCACAGCCGGTAAGTGGATAGATTGGTACGCCAGGAAATTTGCGAAATGGTTCGCCTGCCAGTCGACGAGATAGCCCTGCTGCGTTCTCGGTCCCTCTAATCGTTTTCCACGGTATCAACACAACATGGCCGAACATGTGAAGATTAATTACGTGGTTTTAGCTTATGTCTAGTGAATAACTATAAACTAAATTCTAAACAAGAGTGTATTCAATTTAAATTATAATTCTACTTGGACGTCAAAATTCATTGAAATTCTGCTTTGAGACATTACAATGTTCAAATAAATATCTTCTGGACTAAGAACATTTTCCGTATTATGTTTATGAAATTTAATCACAATGCGTGATTACAGTGATGTCAGTTATCAAGGTTATGCATAAAAGCGTGCACACTTTAAAAATTGTGTTCTTATAGTTTACTACAAAGAGATAGCGACTGATATTTTATGGTAATGCATTAAATTAAACAATTACGCGATTAAGGTAGAATGCTGTGGTTCCATACATTATCGTCAAGGATAAAACACGCTACAGAGCATCTAGTGAGGTTATGCTCTTTTCAATATGGATGCCTCATGCGTTTGCATGTACAAATGCATTTCGTTCTTGTGTATTAGTAAACATGATTCACGATTGCTTATGATACATTCGATATCAGTTGGTTTTCTATTACTAGATTTTGGAATAAATTAACTAATGGAATACAATAAAAAGAGTTCTCGTGTAAATTCAAATTATATTTGAGGATGATTATATACATCAAATGTGTACGCGATTATCAATGAATCTGAACTTCGTCCCTTCATTTGACATGCACTGTTGTTGACGATGACAATGTCGTCGCTATCACTTAACATTGGTTATTTTCTCCGCTCGGATAAAACACCATCCCTTCATAGAATGTTATCACATTAGAGTTTGTCAGGCATTGGCCTTTTCGCATTAACTGCGTAGCTGCTGTCATGTTAGATCAGTTACAATTTGAATCAATATTTTTTCACGAGAAATTATATTTTCTTTCGCATAAAATCAATTATTATATCACATCCATATTTTAAATTAAGCAAGTTCCCAGGTATCTCAATCAGTATATTCGTGAACTAATTAAAATTTAGTTGCGTGAAGTCACTAGGAAGAATGCACCATGAAATAACTATTATATAGATACGCAACCATGTTAAGTTATTAACACCTTGCATATGTGTTCCTAAAATACCAATACATTGTCTAGTTTCGTTTTGACATAACGCAACATTATTATGCGTACGATCAAAAGTTGCTTTCACTTTTCTTTAAAATGCACATATAACGTTTTCGAGTTTGCCAGTATCGAATGCAATTTGTATCGCGATTGATCTCTCTGAATACAGTTTTTAAGGATATCTACAATCGTACAAGGATAAAATTTACAAATTTTTGGCTCGACATTTCGTTACCGATAATCAATCGAACATAACCCCTAATCACGAAACATTTCAAGACGAATTCGTTTCGCGCACGTCACACGGATGGTGCGTGTTAGTGAAACCGTGAAAATGCATTCTTAGCACGCTGTGATAAGAATAGAGCAAGGAAGATAGAGTAAGATAACAAATAGAGGAGAAGTATGTACATGTTCGTACGTAATCGGCGTTCTTGTGTGTGTGCACGAGTGTATGCGCGCATACCGTCAGTATGCTGTATGGAAACATACATCCAATAGTCGCACACAAGGATAATTGTGTAAGTGCACGTGTTACCATGACGATAAAGACGCGGATCGATGTTTTTAACCCGGCGGAACGCATCAAGTTGATTTCGCGTCCGATACCTTGCGATATTTCTGTCTTCGTATTGCGCTTTTCCGTTCCTTACCGTGCCATATGCCTACAAACTTGATCGATCGAGCTCACGGTATGCAGTTTTTTCAACGACAGAATTGGAAAGCGTGAGAAACCGTTTCTTTGTTATCAAATGTGCGTTGAAACTATTTTTTCTACCAAAATTTACATTTTCTTTTCCTTCATGCAGCCAAGTTTAAAGTTTAAAAATAACGATTGATACCGTTTCGCCTAATAGTATTTTATTTGTATCTTTCATTTAGATAACGTTTTCAATAGTCGTAGATAAATTTATAATTTAAACCTTTAAGTTTATTATCAACGACATAAATAACCAA